CTTAACCCAAAAATATCAATTGAATAGAATAGATGAACATGTTATAAGCATTATATTAAGGAAAATGAAAGTAATAGAAAAGGTTAAGAAAAAACAACTGTTTCTTTTTTTATTTAACCATATTCTTCTTAGACTAACGACCAAGGAAATAAGTTTCCCTGAATCGACAAGGTTTGAGATACTATATATATAACAGCTTATCACTTTCAACAAGACTTTATTGATCATAATGATACTAAATACTCATATCAACCATTGTTACACTTCACTCTAGCTTCTCGATGTCGAAACTGAACTTGTGATTCTCCAAGTATCTCTCATACAAATTTGCTTTTCCAGTGGGTTTCACCACCAACATTGTTATTCCATTGTAGTATCCGTCTTGACCCTAAATCCAAATACAAAAGAAAAAAAGTGTATGAAGATTCCAAAACATCAATTAATGTAGATGCATGGGAATAGTGACCTTTTCTTCTTTTTCTTACCTTGTCATGACTAGTATCATCACTCACCAACTTGTCAACAAAAACCTTCATCGGTAATTCTCTGTTTTCACATTCACTAAGTATTTCACTGAACTCGTCTTCCAGGCGTTTATTCTACACCTCAAAAAAAAAAAAAGTTAAATAGCACTAAGACATGTTACACTAGAAGATTAGGTCATTTTGTTTTACCTCAGGGGATGTGAGATTATTGATTCCGGCTGAGGTAATGGAATAAAAACCAGGACCAACATCATAATTGATCTCGTCGATTTCCTTATTTGGAGAGTTTTTAGAGATGTAAACCATTGATTTCGAATGTATGTCAGCCACAACTAAGTAAAAAGTAAGTCCCAAAGACAGGTTTTTGTCCTCAGCAATCTCCCTTGCAAACTCTTTTGGAGTCATTTTGCCCTGTATCAGACATAACGATCATGAGAAACCAATTTAATAATTTAGAAAGATTAAAGACAGTAATTTATAAATGTACCTACCTTCAAGAACTTAACAGTAAGCAACTCCGCTCCGGCATTGGTAAAAGATGTTACATCGACAAGAAATGCAACTCGGCCTTTCTTAGAACAACCCAACAATGTTCCTCCTGTTTTCTCATCTCTATCTCCCAATATGCATTTTGTTTCCTCATCTTCATTCCACCAACCAGCCGTCTTAAATACCCTTTATAATTAATAAAATATGACTAAACCAAATTAACACATATCAACTGTAATTAATGATGATGGATAAGGATAATCTTTAATGGAGGTCGTATAAACTTATACCTGTCGTATCTAGTTTGCAAGATCAGAAGCTGGTCTTGAGGGTTTTGCCATTTGAACCACACACTCCCCATTTTCTCTCTCTTCTGATTATTTGATATCCTTTTGATAATTGTTGTATGTGTAGTATGTGATTGTTGTAATGACTCTCTTGTCTCTATTTATAATGGATTTATGGTATGCTTTTCCTCAATTTTCTTCACCTGCCCCATGCACGTTACTCTATCCATTTTTGGTGAGTTGCGTAGATAGTCATAATCAACCATAACTATTTCTTGATTGAGTAATGATGGAATATATGTATTGATTTTTCATTATGTCATTGCGTAGATAGTCATGATCCCACGCGCTTAAGAAAAGATTTTACCAGTTTTGGTCTTGCTTTCGGTGTTTCGTTTCATTATCTTACTCTACGTATATTCTCCTTGGTTGTGTATTAATGAGTCATGTGCATGTTAAACACTTCAGAAATATGTGTATTTACTAAAATTTTACGAAAGTGGTTTCTAGTGGCACACAAGTTTAATACTCGAATCCGATTATTGTTTGATATAAGATTTGGTGATTTGCTTGCATAGTGTGTAAATTCTTAAATTCGAGTATGAAACTTGTTAGAGATTGTATGGCTTTGCTAAAGAGGACACAAATAGGCAAAACCATTTTTATTAGACAACAAAATAAGACAAACGTTGAAGATCACAAAGGTCATAACGGTAACACATGACTTGAGTTTCCACCATAGCTAGTCATGAGTTACATAACTCAAGGACACGGATACAATGTCCAAATCTAAAAAAATGAGGCATGAAGTCACTCATCTCGTTCACTAGTCCGGTTTAGACCTGCGGTTTAAGCACGATGCTTCCATTTGAATCCAGTGATCAGCAGTAGGCAAGAGCAGCTTCACGCAGTAGCATTCTCTTCCACTGTAATCCTCTCTTCCAAAATCTTTTCTTCAGAGGTTCCATCGTTTACCTTATCAACAATGACTAGCTCTGCAGTGCCATTAGTGCTCTCTTTCACTGTAATTTTCTCTTCATGGATCTTTTCTTCAATCTTCTTATAGACAATGACTTCATCCGGTTTGCATTCATTGCGTAGGTCTGGATAGTTTCTTTGGTTCAATGAATGCAACCAAATCGCCACAGCTCCATCTTTTTCTTCTGCTGAGCCAATATGAGAGTAAACATGCTTCCATTTGAATTCTTCAGCTACTTCCTTGTATTCTTCCATTGACACCTCGTCATGAGTGCCTTTGAATCTTTTGTTGTAAGACGTGAAGAAGCATTCATCAAGGTATAATCCCACTTCCGGCGCCATTGGTACATTTATCCTCACATCCCTGGTAAAAGAGTTGCCAATCCATTATCAATACAAATCAATACGGCTCAAACTATTCAATATTTAGGCAAACAGTAATAAAGCTTACTTCTTGAAGGCATCTACGATCAGTGATTCAGGGGCATAGTTCCTCATGACTGCAACAGCAAGTCCGATCATTTTCCTGATCTGATGAAGCATGAAGCTTTGTCCAACAACTTCACACTTCACAAAGGCTTTTCCATCGAGATTAATAACCGTGTTCGCAGTGAAGGAGAGAATGTACCGATTCGCAGCTGGATCTGCTGCTTTCGTCCTGGTGGTGAAGTTGTGGAAGTTATGTGAACCAACATAATAGCTTAGTATTCTGTTTAATCTCTCCTTTTCCTTTTCCCCATAACAGAAATTGCTCTCGCTCTTACTCATGTCTATTCCTTCCCCATTGTTCATCTCTTCCTTAGCCAAAGTATCCGATCCTTTCAAAGAACCCTCGAGTTGCATATCCTCTGTTATAGAGCTTGAATCAGGAGTTTCCACGGTCTTAACACGAGCAGATGCATCAACTCCATCTAGAAATTCTGAGTTCAAGCTACTCTCTCCATTAAGTACATTAGAGCTCAAAGTTTCACACTTGATTGCATCACAGTTGCTCGACGAAATGTCTGATTCAACCTCCAAAGATTTAGTATCATCACAAGTGTCTTTGCCCATAACACCATGTGGGATCTTATAGCCTTTCTCAGAACACTCAACACATTTGACATATTCGTATCCTGATTCCAACCTAACCATCTCAGCTTCGCTATGTGAGCATGGATCAAGTGCAAAAACCGGAATCAAATACACATACCTCCTCCGATCGCAGAATTTCTTGGAGCTGAACGAAGGCGCGACACGCTTGTACCCAAACACTCGAATCTGATCAGGGAGATTCGAGTTAAGCCGCTCAACAAACCCAGGCGGATCAACGTAGAATCGACCAGAAACCACCTGTCCCACCGCACTCACGCCCTTATCAGTGCGAGCTGATCGAGCCCACTCGTACTGTCTTGGTTTGTTCCGATCGGCTTCAGGTACGGCACCGGCGTGGAAGAGTGCCTCTTCGAGCTCGCCTTCAATGGTTTTCGCGCCGGGATTCTTTTGCATTCCCTGATACCCAACACCGCAAAACGCAAACACTATGGCGACTTTTCGTCGTCTGTATTTCGGTGGTCTGCGCTCAGCGCCGCCGCTTCCGCCGGCTGCAGCAGTCGACGAATTTGTTTCATCGCCGGTGGTGGAAATCTTGAGCTTCTTCTGGTCTGGTTCTCGATCAGGAACGTCATCTTGAGGCAATTTCTCGATTTCAGGCTCCTGATTCTCCATTTTCACCACTAGAAGCCTTTCGTTGCTACGGTTAAGTTGAGTTCTGTACACTCATAGAACCCTAAAACTAGAAGACGAAGGAGTACCATCTCTACGACGCCGTTTGGATTGTAGATTATTAATGGGCCTTGAAAGCTTTATACAAAGTCATATTTGGGTCTTTATTTCCTAATAGGGGACATTTGAGCAATTATTAATTTCCATTAACATTTCAATTTTTTTCTAAGAAATTAAAAGATTCATAGTAATTGAAAATATGGAAGTTACATAAAATGAATAGTTAAGTATATAAACAAATAGGTTCAACATGAATAGTTTCAGAAGTGGGTGCTAAACTGAACTAAGATAATTTACAATTGTTAGTAGTTGCAACAAAAATACTTAT